CGGGGGCGGCCCGCCTCCAAACCCGCATCGCCGCGGCGGCGAGAGGCGGCGGCCGCCACAGCGCCCGGACGCCAGTGGGGCGCGAGGAGGCACGGCGACAGGGGCCGGGACACTCGGCCTCCCTCGCCGCAGCCGGGAGGGTCTGGGCGCCCTGGCCGTGCCCGCTGCTCCGCGAGGGCTGCCCAGAGGGCCAGCTGCGAACTCCAAGCCCCGGGCACTCCGCGCGAGCTTGGGGAGGGAGGGGGTACGCGAACAGGAGTGATCTGCTGGGACAAACTGCTTTCATGTTGCCCTCGAGGGGGACATTTCAGTGCGTCCCCACGGACAGAGAGTGTCACCAAGCATTTCTTCACCACATGCATTCCTTCATCTCCCACTGCCCTCTTAGGTGTATCTGCTGTTGTTTCCCGCCTGCTCTGGTTGTGCTTTCCTCACCCACTAAGGGAAGGGGAGGCCCGTGCCCCACAGATGCCCCGTCTCTGCAGGTCTGCTGCACAAGCAAGGACTAACACCGGTGGCACCACGGTACCTGGCCGGGGCAAGTACCTCTGAGCTACGCTGGGGCTCTCTCAGGTCACTGGGATAACCCGGCATTGAGTTAATCTTATCTCAGCGGGTCCCTCACAGATGGGGGAGCGGCATTTCCCACAGTGAAGAACGGGCCCGGAGGTCTTTCCGTGCAAGGGCGAACAGAGCTGGGCTGTGAGGGAGCCCTTTCCCCCGCGCGGGCCCGCCACACCGCTGCACCAGGGGCGCGTGCCCGGGGATCACCAAGGAAAGGAAGTTAACAAAACAGCTTGGGAAAAAATCTGAAACCCCTTCTTCCACTCGTGTGCAGATGCGACTGGCGGGGGACAGGAGCGGGGCGGCGGGCTCACTGCCCGCACAGCAGCGCCGCGCTGCCCCGGCCCCGCCGCCCGCTCCCGGCTCGGCTCGGCCGCCGCCGCTTCCCCTGTCCCGAACAAACCGGGCCACCAGCCACCCCCCACGTCTGTCCGCCGTCCGCTTCCCGCCTCTCCCCGTCCGTGCCGAGCTCATGGAGGGAATTCTGCAACCCCCTGGAGGTGTCGGGAACAGCCGCCGGTGCTCCCTCAAGCCCGCAAGAAGTTTCTTCTCCCTTGAGAAAACGCGGTGTATAAAGTTGAGCCTCACGGGAAGAAGCCGCGGCTCCTACCGTCGCCCTCCCTCTCCCCACGCCAGAGCGCAGAGCCTCCCGGCAGAACCGTGTGGTTTGTGTTTCCTCCCCTCCGCCCCCCTTCCACCTGAAGGAATTTATGACACAGATGAAAACTGAAACGGAGCTGGAGCGGCGGCCGAGAGACGCAGTGATGTCGCCGGGGGATTAAACGGGGTGGAGGTGATGTCACCGTGCCTGCACAGCAAAACGCACACATACACGCACACCCCCCACCCCCCGGAGGAGCGGGGCTGCCAAGGGAGCGCGATCGGCCCCACGTCACTCGTGCCACTGGTATAAATGCGGTCCCGCGATGTCCATGGCTGTCGGCGCGGCGGCTCCCGCCACTTGACTGCAGCAGGGCTCCGGGAGGCAGCGCCGCTCCGCGCCCTTCGGCCGCCGGGACCCACGGGGCGGCGGCGGGCGGCGGCGGACAAGGAGGAGAAGGAGGAGGAAGAGGATGCTGCGCGCCTTGGTGGCGGTGTCCCTGTGGCTGCGGGTGAGCCCGCGGGCGCAGGGCGCGCCGTGCGAGGCGGTGCGCATCCCCATGTGCCGCTCCATGCCCTGGAATATCACTCGCATGCCCAACCACCTCCACCACAGCACCCAGGAAAACGCCGTCCTCGCTATCGAACAGTACGAGGAGCTGGTGGCCACCGGCTGCAGCCCGGTCCTGCCTTTCTTCCTCTGCGCCATGTACGCCCCCATCTGCACCCTGGAGTTCCTCTACGACCCCATCAAGCCGTGCCGCTCCGTGTGCCAGCGCGCCCGCGACGGCTGCGAGCCCATCATGCGCCGCTACAACCACAGCTGGCCCGAGAGCCTGGCTTGCGACGACCTCCCCGTCTACGACCGTGGCGTCTGCATCTCCCCAGAGGCCATCGTCACCGACGTGCCGGAGGGTGAGAACCCCGGGGGCAGCGAGAGGTGGGAGGGAGGACTCCCTCCACCCCCGCGGGACGCCCCAGGGTGGGACGGGGGGGCTGCGGGACCCCCACGCTCCAGTCCTGGAGCCTCTTCCGACAGTTTTCACTCCCTGACCTGACCTGCACCTCTGTTTGCAGATGTGAAGTGGACGGACTTCACACAGGGCTTTATGGTGCCGGACAGACCCCTGGAGCCTGACTGCAGGAGCCGCGGCCAGGGTGAGCCTCGGATGAACCCCCGCCTCCACCTCCCCGGAGACAGGGTCCCTCTGACACCCCTCAAACTTTCTCCTTTCTCTTCCTTTGAAGAGCGGTGCAGGTGCAAAAAGACAAAGCCTACGCTGTCAACCTACTTGGCCAAGAACTACAGCTACAGTAAGTGCATGGGGGAAACGCTTCAGTTTGCCGGTCCCACACCCTCCTTGTGTCCCTGCAAGTTAGGCAGCTTTGTATGCGTGGAGAAGCCACACCAGGCCTCATCCAGCAAGTCTGGCATGAGAAGACTTCTCCAACACAGCCTTTCCAAGTGGGTGTTTGACTGGAGATACCTAGCTGTCCTCTTCCAAAATCCAGCTGTAGCACACACCGTGTGCAGGCAGTAGTAGTGCACAGAGGATGGTGTGTTTCTGCCAAAAGCAGTAAAATGTCAGTAATGTGCCCCCTTCTGCTCTGCAGAAAGGTTGGTTACTGCTGCAAAGGTCACTCTAGTAAAGGCAGTTACGTCTGATGTGAGCGTGACGACTTGGCCAGCTCCTGTTTTCATCCAGCAGGTAGAATAAACGGGGTTGCTACCCAAATAAAACCTGTAGATGTGAACCAGCTGCAGCAAAGTAAAAAGTTTTTAGAAATTTATATATACTTTTACTTATTAGCCAGAGTTCTGTCCCATGCAGAATTGTCAGAAATTAACTGAATTCGGTGACAATTTGCACCATCCGGCCAAATAGATGGCTGATAGTTTTATTACATGTTGTGTGACATACTGGCAATAAAAACAAGTATTCACCCCTCTGCCCCCTTGGTTTCCCCCTGCTTCAGTTTTCTGATGATATGAATCAGGAAGAATTCTAACTAAGATTAGATAAATGCCAGATTGAACCTATTGTCAATACAAAGCCCCTATTAACTATGAATTTAATATGCAGTATTGCTTCATTTTTCACTTTGTGGGCATTTTCTCAGATGGCAGATTTTTTTTCCAGTCATTTATACAGTTCTTCTGCAGTAGGGTTATAATATAATCCAATTCCTATTTGCTTGACATCAAATGAAAGTAAGTTGGTAGCTATTTGCTTATTTGTTAGCATGTTTGGCGGGAATAATCAAGCTGAACCTCTAGGTTAGGTAATTGTACAATTTTTTGTTCATTACAACATTTTGGTGCATTTACACAACATATTGTTTTTATAGAATTCCTTGATCTGCGTCAGTACAACACAGAGATCTGTTTAGGTGGAACAATGAGCTTCTACACTTTCCTGAAACATATGAAAAAGTAGTGATATCAAATGTTCCAAAATGAAAACAGGTGTTAGCCGTGTCAATTCTGATTTGAGTGTTCCTTGAGTGAAACATGTATGTTGGGATCCAAAATTTTATTCCATTGAATTTGTGAAATCAAGATTTTGTTTTTGAGATGTAAATTTCCATTCAGCTCCCTCTGAGATAAATAGACCTATTTATATTGAAAATGAACTGAGGGATGAGATTTAATGAGTTGAAAATCAATCAATCAATCAATCAATTAATTTTTTTCTGAAAACCCTTTAAGACATACAGTCAAATTGTACTTTTAGCTATCAGAGCCAATCAGACTTGAAAATGGACTATGAGTCTCCAAATTCCCGCATGTTTTGTGTCTGTTATACATGTCTTGATAAAGGTAGCACGTAAACCCCAGACCGCATTAAAAGTGCTGGTCTCCTGTTTTCTATGTGTGAAATTTATTTCAAATTTTATGAGGTTCATGTGAAGGCTTTTGACCCAGTGGCTGGCGGGGTCTCACAGGGGTAGGCTGATCACCCATGTGTGCTCTATGCACTTCACATGCTTCTTCAACTGAAGAATGTTCGGACAGTAGAACCCTTTCTATTTTTACATTCCCTAGAGACAAAATCTTTTATGTGAAAATCATACTTTATTAGACCTGGTATTTCTCACAAGAGAGAAGAGATGAAATGATGGACTGGTAGGTAATGCCAGGGTTTGTAGGTACAAAGTTAACCAGGGATCATTTCAGAGTAATCTGCAGCGTTTCACCTTCTTGCATCAGTGCAGACATGCAGTTTTCTTCAATGAAAGGTAAAAATACAAATGCTTGTGTATTCAGAGTCAGAAGAACCTGTTTCAGTGTCTCATTTATGTAAGCATCTCACTATTGGTAGAGAATACAAAGGCAAAAGATGAAAAAAGTATAGCTCAAGTAAATCATGACAATCCTAAGCCTCTTAATTTTTTGACTGTTCTTTCTAGTCTTCCTTTGTTTCTTATATTTAAGAAAAGACTATATTTCCTGGTTTAAATCTACAGGAAGTGATTTGATTATTGAAAAGACTGAATTCATGACAACTGTCTGTGAGGTAAATTATTCATTGCTTAATTGGAAATAGCCAGATGCAACTGGAGAATGGGTTAGATTTATGCAAAGTCTTGTTCAAGTCTGAGTTGAAGGATCTGTTTGTGTGTGTGATTCCAGGCGGGACTGGTTGGCCTGATGTGGCCAAGATTTAAGCACATGTTTAATTTCAC